GGATGAAGGGGAGGGACGAGGGAGAGGGAGGGGGAGAGGGAGGTGGGAGGAGGTCGGCTAGATTGTTCACTGTAGGACTGTACCACCCCGACGCTTGATTTTAGGCTCATGACGACCCCAGTGGGAACCAGATGAGTGGTGTGCTGTTCCTAAGGGGCGGCTGCTCTGTCCTCCCTGTGGCTGTGTGGGTGCCACATGTCTGGCCCTGTCTGTCACCTCTGGCCGTGTGTCTCTTGCACTGTTTGGGGTTCACCCCTTGTCTCTTGCTGAGGCCCTCCTCCCTCTGTGGGGTGGGGGGAAACGGCTGCGGCGGGGGTCCAGCAGGTCCCTGCAGGGCCCCGGCTTGGGGACACGGACACACCCGGAAGCGGACAGCAGAGGACATGTTGCAGTGCATGGAGATGGGCGCGAAGCCGTACAACGCAGCCAGCACGTCCCGGTTGAAGGAGTTCCAGGGCACTGCGGCGAACTGCTGCGGCACGGAGGCCTGCGGGCAGGTGCACACTTCCTCACTGTTGAACCTGCGTGGAGGGAAGGCGTGGCCTGCTAGCGCCAGCGAGGCGGCAGCGCTGCTCCGCCAGCACGGGGCCCTCGGCCGCTGCTGAGAGGACGTGCGGGCCCTGCTTCCGTGGGGTGGCTTGCGTCTGTCTGCGCGGGGCCAGCTCCTGAGCTGGGTGTTGACTAGTGGGGCCTGCCACGGATGCTGCAGCTGAGGGGCTGGCCGCCTAGGCCACTCGTGCGGGGCACACTCCAGGAGCTTGGCTGGTCTCCGCCCGCCCGCCCTCCTCCCAGCGGTGGCCCTGGGGTGCGGGCACGGCAGACGCCGCACCTGTCCACCAGGTGGAAGTACTTCTGCAGGAAGCCGGCGTCCACGGCACTCTTACACAGCTCCAGCTGCGTCTGCGGGTAGTAGTGCACGTAGTTGACACACATCTCCTCCAGGATCCCGAAGCCGCCCTGTGGGGACAGCGCCGCGCCTCAGGCCTGGCCCCTCCCCCTGGACGCTGTCACCCAGCGGCGTGCCAAGGCACCAGCTCCCTGCAGTCTGCCATCTTCTCAGGTGCGGGGCCAGGCAGCCGTCCAAGCCCAGGGGGGAACAGGGAGCAAGGTCCCTCCCCTTGGGGGACCCACCACCCCACACCGCAGGAGACGGGTCTGGTGGGGACAAGGCTATGGAGGCGAAGTCTGAGGAGGGGCGAGGGCCGTCACTGTTCCTGTTTGTGGGTCCGGGGCTGAGTCTGAGGAGGCCGAGGATGAGGACAGCCAGCGCCCGGGTGGGT